ATCTATCTATCTATCTATCTATCTATCTATCTATCTATCTATCTATCTATCTATCTATCTATCTATCTATCTATCTATCTGAGGGGATTTCTTCTGATGAGCTTTGGTGGTCAGATGAGTCAGCTGCCTGCTGCAACTTCTCCATCCAAAAAAAGACATCATCACTTTTGGTGACTGAACCACATGTTAACCCCATGACAGAGGAGCACACCCTCCTCTGTTCACCAGAGACAAAAGTGAACCAGAAATAACAATAATAATAACAATAATAATAATAATAATAATAATAAAACTTCTGGGCTCTAATGGCACCTTAAAATAGACCAAATAACTGAAACCTATATTTCCACTGGTATTTATGCAAAAGGGAAAAAAAATCATCATGGACTTTCAGGACTTCCTTATCTTTACGCCAGAGTCATGGAGACTTTTTATCTAAACACACAAGATAAGATAAAGCTCTTTTCTTCCATCTGAATGACTTTATAGTTTGATGWGCTCCTTCAGACCAGGCAGCCCTGGTGGTCTCTGCGGTGCCCTTTGTCCCACATGTCTAAATTCAGACCACGTGTTGGTTCTAGTGTCAAAAGCAGAGCTGGCATTTCGCACAACATCATAATTAAGTCTACATCGACAGATTGAGCCTAAAGGGATGCAGAAACGAACGGTTTCACATGTTAGTTTCAACAGAGAAAGCAGGATTGTTTTTTAGTTTTTCACTTCCACTTATTTCTCCCCCTGAAGCTAAAAAATTACAGTTATAATAAATACCTTTTTCCTCCCAGAGGCACCAAGCTATGATGCGTTCAAATGTATTCTGTAAATTAAACTTTGTCGCAAGTAATTCAGTTATATTTTTACGACTTTTAAGCTGTCAAAGTTAGCCCAAAGTACTTTAAACAAGCTGTATTTTGGCGGAATGTTAAATAAAGTAAATTCTAGCTATTTGTTTTTAGCTTAATTGTCGATTTAAAAGAAAAAAAAAACAGCTACTCACTTTAAACCCGCGACAACTCCGTGGGTTTCAGCCACATTTTTGGACATAATGTTATGTTTCTCTCCAACGCAACACGTGTCCGCACGAGCAAAACAAGTTAGAAAAGTGAACTTTAAAAAAACAAAAATAAAAATAAAAAAATAAATAAACGCAATAAGATAAACTTCACGGCGGTCATGTGTGTCCGGCCAGGCTGCCTGCGCCAAAATGTCACCGTGAGAACTCGAGCAATTTAGAAAGGAATGTCAAAACATCTTCAAGAGAGAGAGAGGGGGGAAAGGGGGAGAAAAAGCCTCACCTCTATGAACGCGGGTATTTGTGTAAAGAATAAAAAGAAGAAAGCAGTGGAGTATGTTCCTGTCCAGGCGGTGGAGACAGCTGACAGAGTTGGTAAAAAGGCGGCAGGCGGACAGCTCGGTATCCTCGTACTAAATTAACTACAAAAACAACAACAATGTACCAACATTCCACGCTCTGCTTCCGCAAGCGCTGACGTCACCGAGTCCTCGTGACCGCCCCCTCCATTCATGAAAATAACTTTCTGCTGACGTCAGTCTGGGAAGGAGGAGGGGAAGAGTGGGGGGGGG